ATTTTTTTGAACCAAATAATTAAAAATTAGAAAATTGTTTTTAAATATATATATATATATATATATATATATATATATATATATATATATATATATATATATATATATATATATATAGAGATATATGAAAATGTACTGTATATATAAATATATATATATATATATATATATATATATATTATATATATATATCACAATTTTTTTAACTATAATATTTATATATTATATATACATCATACTTATTGGAAAATCGATATCAGTGATAGAGGGTGAAATATTTAATTGGATTGATTTTGAGTTTTTAAAATAAATTGGCCTATAAAAATATGTAATTTCTGTTTTATGTGAGGGTGAAACCCGAGGTTACAAAATTGACACATATTGTTCAACCCGATAATATAAATTTTTAATATATATATAAATATATATTTTCTAAATATTTTCGATGTAACAGTAAAATTGTCCAAATTAAAAAAATTGTTTCATCCCTAAAAATTTTAATATCTCAAAAAAATTCTACCTATTGATTTTAAATAAAAAATTCATGTTGGCCAAATTAATGGAAAAAATTACTTTTCATTTTTTTACGGCTAGAAAACAGTTTTCAGGTGAAGTGTTTTTCCAAATTGAAAAAAAATTATAGAGAAAATGACCATTCAGGAAAAAAGTAATGCTGGTTCCAGGAAATATCAGAATAAATCTTCAAAGTTAATTCAAGAACCATCGATGAATAAATTTTAAAAAAGGGGGCATACAGATCTTGTATTGGCTGTGAAGTCAAAAAAGAGGGATCATATTTTCAACTAGAGCAAAATACAATTTATTGTTTGCAAGTTTTCCAGTAGTGTTATAAATAAAGTAAGATATCTTTAATCATTTACAAATTTCTAAATTTGTTTGTTAAAAATTTAATTAAATAACAATTGGACAGGTTATTTAATGTGGTCCGGTTAATTTTTTTAAGATAATAAACAAACATGTTAAATGGTCATACATTGAACATGGTTTCTCTTTTTTAAAATATATCAAAGAATTTCAATAACTGGACCAGAAAAAAGAATTTTAAATTTAAAAATTTTTTTTTTTTTTTTTCTTGTTAAAATCAAAAATAGAATTTCATTCTCTTTTGAAGCTTTAATTTAAAGGCAGAAACATGTTAAAAGAATAAACTTTTTTTATTTGTTCCTTATTCTATCATTCTGTCAAATTTAAATGAGCATCTTTGATGTATATTTGGTCCCAATTTTTCATCACAATTTTACAAATAACACAAATTTAAACACACACATTAAGTGACACATCACATATATATATATATATATATATATATATATATATAAAGGGTGTTCCAGTAACCTGAACCGATTTTAAATGTGAATTACGTTTAAGCGTCTAATGATTTTTTTTTTTTTCTTTCAGATTTAACAACTTAAGTCTTTGGCAATTTCAACCATGGAAAGATTAACAATCAAACAACGTGTTAAACTTATCGAAGCCTATTACGAAAATGGACGTTCAAACAGAAATGCATTTCGCGCACTTTGCGATTTTTTTTTATCAACATAATCGACCAACCGAGAAGTGCAATTGGAAACGATGTAACGTTGTTGTGGAAGGTTCAATTCCTGCGCGCGATGACGAATAGAGGGGTCTGGATTTTCAATCACATTCTCGTGCACTGCAGCAATGTTTTCAGCTGAACGGCGTAAACGAGCACGCAGTGGTGTTAACACATCTGCCACCGACTAAGTTTGTTCGAATTTACGAACAATTTTTCCAACTGCACTCTTGAAACTTTAACACGTTGTTTGATTGTTAATCTTTCCATGGTTGAAATTGCCAAAGACTTAAGTTGTTAAATCTGAAAAAAAAAAAAAAAAAAAAAATTAGACGCTTAAACTTAATTCACATTTAAAATCATATGGACTAATTTAAAGTTTTTCCATGTTAAAATGTTTTTAATGGTCGATTTTGTTTAGCGGCATATCAAAACCTCACATTGCCATTTAATGCCAAATGTAAATATATTGAAACACAATTTTATGGCTTCAACTAAATATATTTTGAACGCAATTTTTCGCATTCAACTACAGATTCTTTATTTAATTTTTTTTTTAATAAAAAATAAAGTGTTTTTTCTTGCCCATTTTTTATATAAAATAAAGCTTGATGATTTTATTGTTATCTTGTTTGAACTTGAGGTTCACTATTTATCCATGACTGAGACCCTAACAGGTGCTACAACCATTTTACAATATTGGATCTTTGTCTCAAAATCAATTAAGAGGGGGTTTACATGAATCCTTAAAACCTCCAATCTCCCGATCAGATGTCCTACTGCCGGATGTAGTTTATTGTCATACCCAGGACTAATATACAAATGCATATTATCATTATTATTTCGAAACGTAGAAAAAAAAAAAATTCTCATAAAGAAAATAAATATTCGAGAGAGTTACTAAAGTAGACTATAAAATCAAATATATTATTGCAGTACTACTTTTAATATGTGTATATAAAAGGAAAAATAGCGCCTTCCTCCCTAAAATGAATTGTAATTTTTTTAGTTTTTCGGTAAAACACGCCGGAGCAAACGGTGGATTCTCCTGCAACGACGGACGCTGGTCTGGAGAGCAGGAGGATAAACATGTTTTTTTTTTATTTTATTGGGTTTTATTTAATGCTCAGAATGATAGACCTAACACACACTGTTTAAGATAAAAATAAAAATAGGCCGTCTATTTCAAATATGTGTATCCACTATAATAACGTTTCAAGTAATATATACATATACATATGCGTGTGTATGTATATGCATAAATAACAATGTGAAACAAGCACATAAAAAAAATTATCGTTATAATTAAACAAAGACATGTGGGTATATGTGTATGCATTTACATGTATCTACATATATATATATATATATATACTACATATTTGGGTTATATATATCACATAATTATATTATATATATATATATATATATATATATATATATATATTAATTACAATATTTGTATTTGAATTATTATTATTGTTGTTGTTGTTGTTGTTGTTATTCCTGCCAAGATCATTTCAAAAAATGTTCAAAGTTCTTTTGCACTCGAACCCTCCCTTCAAAAATCCCCCTAGAAAAATGTCTTATTTTAAGTCAAAATTTTAAAGCATGTCAAAAGAAAGTATTTTAGAAAAGAAACCCCATGAAACGTATTCAAACTCTCCCAACCTGTTGCACAATTTATGTACATGGCTTAGTTTTACAAACGAATATTTAAGCGAAGATTCTGCATCTGTTGTAAGTTCCCAAAGATTCATTAAAATTTTGCAAACAAAAATTTATAAAGAAATTCTTTTCCAGTACATTGTCTTTGAAAAGATAAAGAAGGGTTGAAAGCTACATTTATAGATGAATTACATTGTAATAAGTAATTTCTTTCACTTTAATTTACAAACGAAAAATTTGAAAGAAAAGCAAGATTTGTTTAAGTCTGGCAAGATTTTTTTGTTTTTTAAACGAGAAACATATTTGATTCTACATTGCTTCTTTAGAGAAAAGATTCAATAATTTTATAAACCATATATATTTATAGATATATTCTACATCTGTTATAATAAAATCTATAATTTTAAAACGAAGATGCAAAAGTATTTTCAAATAGAAGATTCTAGTTCTATGTTATTTAGTCTAATAAGATTCACTATTATCGACTGCAAGAAAAGTCTATTAATAGGAAAAATGTGAAGTTTTTATGGATTCATTGACCACAAAAAATCTCAAAAATTTATATTATTCATTCTGTGTTTCCAGGAGTTTGATAATTATTTAATAATTTATCATTCAGACTGTTGTCATTTAATTCAAAAATTTAAACATTAATCAGTACCACCAAACCATCATCAATAATGAATGATTTTTTAAAAAAAAAAAACTTAAGATTTTCATTCATTTTATTCATTTTTTCAAAAAAAATTTAATAAAAGAAAACAAATAGCCAAAATTTTTCATAAAACAGCAATTTTAGGATAATAATCTTTTAAAAAATATAATAACCCATTATTTATTTAAAATGAACTGTCGATAAACAATTTCACCTTAATTTAATTTTATCACTGAAATCTAAATATTAATCAACCAAATATGAATAAGTTTTTGAAAACAAAACGATTTATATTTTTTGATAGATTTTTATCTATTAGAAAAAAAAGATTTTTTTCAAAAGACCCAATTTATATATATTCGATATATAAATATATTTTATATGCTTAAGAATAAAGGAAAAAATAAAGCAACAAATGAATGAATGTAGTTTTTTCGAGGTTCTTTTTGTTTAAATTGATAATTTGACACCAGATTGCAGAAATAATTGCTATTTTCAAGATAAAATTGAATAAATTGATGTTTTAATCAAAAATGAAAAAAGAAAAAAGATCTGTCTCCATCCTTTGTTATTTTTTTTTGATTTTTATGTCAAACGGAAAAGCTGGATAAATATGTTGACAGACCTAAAATGTTTTTTAAGAATCAAATCTTTATTAATAGTTTAAGTTATTTTGATTTATTCTGAAGAAAAGTTCAAAGGCTTTGATAGTCTTTAATTTATGAAAAAGGAGTGTAAAATGGCAGGCGAAATTTGACGAAAGAAAGCATTAAATAAAAAATTTTTACTAATTTTGAAACAGATGGTTGCCAGAATTTGATAAAAGTTTAATATTAAAAAAAATAAGTTTAAAATCAACATTTCAAATATGGAAATTCGCGCCTGTAAATAAAATTAAAATGACATTTCGATGTTAGAATTTTAAAATGATGAAATGGTTATTTGGAATGGTCGGGCGTGAAAATCTGGGGAAAAGGTGTGAAGATGAGGTGAATTTTTGGTTGCAGTATCAGAAAATTAAAATCAGGTTGAAATTTAAACAATGGGGTTTTTTTGAGGTTCCCGTTGAAGTTAAAAAGGACTGAAAATAAATTTCATAAAAAAAATAAAAAATCAATGTTAATAAAAAAGATCCAAAAATTTGCATGACGATATTTTAAAAGCAATGAGTTTTCCTTGTTGATGAAAAGAAGAAATGAAATAAAGAAGGAAGATGTTTTTTATGTAATGAAGAAAAAAAGAAAAAACTAAAAAAATAAAATTTTCCAAAAAGAAAGAAAAAAAAAAGAAAAAGAAAGAAAGAAAAAATGAAAGAAAAAAGGAAATTTTTCCATTAAAGTTCAAGAAAGAAAGAAAAAAAAGAAAGAAAAAAAAAAAGTAAACAAAAAAGAAAAAAAAAGAAAAGAAATTAAAAAAAATAGGAAATTTCAGGAAGGAAACAAAAATAAAAATGAATAAAGAAAAAAATGAAAAAAAAATAAGGGATAGGATTTTGAAGGAGAAAAATAGAAGAAAAAAAAAAAAAAGACAAAGAGTTTTTACGGAGGAAAGAAAGACAGAAAATAAAAGCTATCAACAAAAAATTCAATATTTGAATTATATGCTAAAATAACTTTTAAACAACACAAAATGAAAACAATTATCCATAGGGTTTATTGTCCCAAGCGCTTTGAGCTATGACTTAAGCCATTTTCAGGGGTTTCACTTTTATTGTAAAGAAGATTGGTTGCATATTTTTGTCTTGTTATCTAATACTGTGCTGTGTGATAGGTAGAATATGTAGGTAGTAATATCTTTCTTATTAGAGGTTTGCCTTAGTTTCAGAACAGAAACAACGTATTTTGGCATCGTTCAGAAGAGGTATAATTCAGGGATGGTCTGTCGTTTTTCGGGAGAATTGTTCCGAAAATATTTAAACGTTTCGAAGAGAAAGTAAAAAAAAATGAAAAATGTTAAAGACTCGAGAAAAATTGAACGGAAAGCTTAAATAATATACCTTACTATTCACAATCAACAAAAAACACGAGTAAGGC